GTTTTTCTTCATAGAACCCAGCTTCTCGTATTATTTGCTCAGCATACAGGTTGAACAAGTATGGTGAAAGAATACAACCCTGTCTCACACCTTTCGCTCGGGACTGTAGTTGGACAATTAACCTAAGACGGAGTATGTTCATGGCAAATACTACAGTTGATCACGGTCATCACAAGAGTTACAAGAACTTTAGCTTTTCTGCCTCATTCTCTTGTTCTGGAGAAATGCCAGAGAATAATTATTGTTGTTGTTGTTGTTATGTACCGTGGAGTTGGTTCCGACTCATAGTGACCCTGTACAGGGTTTCCGAGGCTGTAAATTTTTACGGGAGTATAAAGCCTCATCTTTCTCCCAGATAACAGCTGGTAGTTTTGAACTGCTGACCTTAAGATGCGCAGCCCAATTCATAACCACCAGGCTACCAGAGATCCTTAATTAAATAGTAATAAAACTGATGTCTAGAATTGGGTATTATCAATCTCTTTCAGTCACGTATCTGGAAAAATTCATGTGCTGCCATGCAAAATAGGGCCCTGGGAAGTTAGATATATGTTAGCGGATAAGGAGCCCTGGTGACACAGCATTTAAGTTGCTCTACTGCTAATTCAAAGGTTGGTGGTTTGAACCTTCCTAGCAGCTCCACAGGAGAAAGACCTGGCAATCTATTTCTGTAAAAATTACAGCCTAAAAGACCGCTGCATGGAATACGGTTCTGTTCTGTCATACGAAGTTGCTATGAATCGAAATTAACTCAGCGGCATCTAATGACAACAAGATGGACAATAGCACTCGATAGGCTTTGGAGGTAAATAATATTAAGTACACACATACACACACTCAAGCAAATTAATGACAATTTAATAAGAAAGCTCTACTAGTTATCTAAGGAGCTCTGGTAGTGTAGTTGTTACGAATCGGGCTGCGAACCTTAAGGTTAGCAGTTCGAAACTACCAGCTGCTCCGCGGGAGAAAGATGAGGCTTTCTACTCCCATAAAGATTTACACCCTCGGAAACCCTGTATAGGGTCGCTATGGGTTGGAACTGACTCGACAGCACTTAACAACAACAACAACTAGTTATCTAGTGCAGGTAACTTCTTCTTCTTTCATTTTTTATCCAGAAACAGCTGTGTGCTGCTAAGTAGTCACTTTTCTGAAATAGCAATTTTCAGGTATAAGGCAGCGAGTCTCTTTTCATTTGTGATACTTATTGGGGGCATATTTAAATATGCCACGAGGCGATCTTTTGCTTAATGCCTTCTCATTTACAGATAAATTGTAGATAGTACATAAAGCCCCTCTGGTACAATATGTGAAATGGCTGTTTAATTTTCCAGGGGGACTCAGAGAGAGTCATGATAATTACTGGACCGAACATGGGTGGAAAGAGCTCCTACATAAAACAAGTCGCATTGATTACGATCATGGCTCAGATTGGCTCTTACGTTCCTGCCGAGGAAGCAACAATTGGAATTGTGGATGGCATTTTCACGAGGTAAATACATTCATTCATTTTAATATATTTCTTAAAATAAATCAAGCCCACATTGTTATTTGAATTTTCTTTTTGTAGCATAGTGGTTACGAATCGGGCTGCAAACCTTAAGGTCAGCGGTTTGAAACTTCCAGCCGCTCCAAGGGAGGAATATGAGGCTTTCTGCTCCCGTAAAGATTTACAGACTCGGAAACCCTATACAGGGTCGCTATGGCTCAGAGCTGACTCGACGGCACATAACAGTAACAACATATGTATTTCGACGAATGGAGCCCTGGTAGCATAGTGGATTATGAGCTAGACTGCTAACCTTAAGGTTAGCAATTCAAATCTTCCAGCCCCTCCACAGGATAGAGATGAAGCTTTCTACTCCCATAAAGATTTATAGCTCGGAAACCCTATGCAGGTTTGCTATAAGTCGTGACTGACTCAGTGGCCCACAACTACCACCACCATTTATATGAATAGATATGCTCTTAAAATATTTGAAGTATAAAAGCTTTAAGAAATCATTTCATCATGGATAAGTTTCATCTTGAAGAAGCCTAGATGGTCATCTTGTCAAGTTGTTTTCAAGTAATATTGAGTTATTGAGTTATTAAACAAAGGCGTATGTGGGAGATCAATATTTAAAGAGAGAGAAAAGCAGAGCACATTTGCCTGAATCAGAGGTGGCAGGCTTGGAGAATTGGCTACTAGGCTCTGCAGAGCATAGTCTGGAAACTAGTCCATCCTCACCACTTTGTAGGTGAGGAACTAATGCTGTATTTTATGACATTATTAGGAAAGTGGGCCAAATATCCTGGTCTCGCTCACTGATAGGAATTCACAGTTTAATGTATTTTACGACTTCAGATTTATCAGTTCTTGATGTATTACTTTTACCTCTTGTAGTCCATGTTTAAAAACATCCTTTATTTTTAGAATGTCCTGGATATTCTAGGATAAGTACTGGACTACTAACTACTACTGGTTCAGAACCACCACTTATCTGTCAACTTGTCACACTTTAATGGCTTGCATCTAGCTGTGATGCTAGAAGCAATGCCACAGGTGTTTTGAATGCAAGCAGCGTCGCCCATGGTAGACAGGTTACAGCTGAGTTTCCAGATTAAGACAGACTAGAGAGAAGAAGAGGCAGACTACTTCTGAATGTTTAGACACTGAAAACCTTACAGGTAGCAGTGGAACATGGCAGGTAGCACCAAAATATTGAACATGTAAGCATTATGAATTGATGGAATAAAAATTGAAATCTTTCAAGAAAGTGAGG